TTCTTTGTATTAGGAACTGACTAAGTGCTTCTATTTAGTATGACGCCAACATCAGACCAACGGTCATTCACTTAACAACTTAGGCATTGCTGCAGTCTTGAAGAGAGCACATAGGTATTCCATAACCTGCACAAATCAAGGACTTGGTTATTAAAATGCATTACCTGACTTGATGACAGAACATACACCTCAAGGAAAAGTTTTGGTTTCATTTTGTTTTGTTTTGTTTTAAGCCTTTTTTGAACTACTACACGACATATCAGAGTAAACAGAGAACTAAGTAATATTTTAACAGTTATGAAATTGGTGAAAAGGAAATTAGGTACTCAAAAATATTCCTACAGCCTAAACTAGTTGATTTTAGACATATGTCTCAGTTTTCAGAAACTGTAATGCTACAACATGAAACGTTTGTACATATGCTAATATTGGTAAGTCAGCACTGAAGTAGCTTTCTACTATTTTTTTTCCAAGATAGAATTTATTTTTCTTATTCAATAATGGTACCAATTACAGAAATAGTAAAGCTCAAACCTTAATTGTAATACACACCAATATTTCTAACCACTAGATTGGATTAGTTTTTAGATCAATTCAGACTGCTTTGAAACTGCTGCCAATATTTTTTTGTAGCATTAACTTGCTTTTAATTTAAACCTCAGCAGAGGACTTAAAATCCAGACAATTATCCATGGGTTCCATGGCTCCTCAAAACAGAGTAACACTATCCCTTTGAAAACTACCTTAAGAATGTAAAAGATCCCCTAATAAAAGGGAGAGGGGGGTGGGGGGGAAGGAGATTACAAGAGAAAAGCATCACCTTTCCATCCAGAAACATTCCACCCTTGAGAAGAAACTGTTCATCCATCCTTAGTCCTCTAAAGCAAGAATGTAACTACTCACCAACGAAATCACCTGTCACAGACAAAGATGTTAAATTGGGACCAAGTTGTTTCCATGTAATCCATTGATATTATAATAAATGATGAAAAAATTATTGGAATATTGTTATAATTGAAAACAACATACACTTCCTGGTTCATTGAATCCATTTGTCACTTGTTACATCAATTTTTAGATACTTTTTCCTATTGAAGTTTATGCTAATAAATGTTGGTGGATAAGATTAAAACATACAGAGATTTACTTGCAGAGTGAGATTTTTACATCAAAAAAAAAAAAAAAGCATTGCAAAGTTTTTCTTATTAACACCTTTAAACCTGTGTGCTGATAAATACAGACAAAGCAAAGATCCTTTACAGCCAGTAACTCCTCATTTTACTCATGACTGTCTATTTTTCACAACTCCCATTATGCCATTTCCTCTAAATTGGAAGTGTTACCAACTTAATCCCCATCCAACGGTTATATCTTTTATTACTGGAATAAACTTCCCCAGTTCCAACTGGACCGTACTACAAACTTGTGTTTTTACTAGGTATTTTAGTTGGAATTATTCCTGGGGAACCTTGGCATCCAGAGACCTCTTGTCAAGTTCTGCTATTTTTTTACATGGTTTCAACTCTGTGTTTTGTAAAATTTTGGGATTGTTTCCCTCTTAAGTTTGTACAGGTACTCCTACTACTGTGCTAGTTCAGGTCACAAGGGTAACTTGAAAGATCATCCTCATTAGCAGTGCTTTGGTTGACATTGTCAAGTAGATTAGGAGTACACAAACTGAATTATTTTGGGATGAAACTACACTGGAAAGCTCAGAGTGCACCCAACATACTCCAACAACTGAGAGACACACACTCTAGAGGGCCAGAAAGGAGCCAGGCTGAACGAAACTCAAATGCAGACCAGGGACATCAGGTCCTCAGCACCAAAGACCTTGCTCTACAAAAGCAGTTTGATGAGGCTGCTCTGCTTACCAGGGAGCCTGTATCGCCAAGCAGCCACTTCAGTCATTTATTATGGTTACTTCATTGAGCCTCAATGCTCGTGTTTCTTTAATATACACATTAGCATTAGCATGACTCTACTTCAGCCCAAGCAAACTTCTTGCACACATCTCCATTTCCTTGTTTTCTTACATCCTTTCCTTACTGTCTTTTCTTCCCTTTACTGAAGACTGTTAGGCAACTCTTCAGCAAACTAAATTTGGTCCAGTAACTATCTTGCTAGGCCTACAATCTACTTACTGATCTCCAAAGACAAAGCTGCTTTTAAAAAGACTGCCTAACATGAAGTTTCTAAATTTACACTTCTTTTACTATATAAGTTAGCCTGATCTTCAAAGGTGCCGCCTGAATCACAGAGAAATTACTTATACTCCCTTGCGAGTTGGTGCCCGAGTAATATCATTGTAATACAGTTAAGTTCATCTTCTGATAAACAATTTGTAAAACATAAGATCATTTAACAGCAGACAAGAGACTTTAGCAGCCTAGCTTTCATTTTAAGGATTGATTCTGAAAAAGGGTAGAGGGAGTTGGTTTCATGCTGTCATTAGAAAAGTGAAAAAAGTAAACGTGGCTGATTCACATGGTGAGATCCTGACATCCACTGAAAGAGAACAGTACATTATCACATACACAGTGTACTTCTGAGGACAGTAACTTCATATGGCTAGAAATATTCAGCCAATTAAGTAGCAATCCCACTGACTGAACACGGGTAAATTAATTATAAAGTGCTGGTGCACACCAACACAGATGCTTTCGTGAGGTAACTTACTGTGACTGGAGCTACACAGCATCAGAACTAAAGTATGGTTACAGAGTATTACTAAAAACACTTGGCATTTGTTTTAAGACAGCATTATAAGTCCTGAATTCTAATTAGCTAGTACACGTAATATTACTTTTGCATAGTAACAGTGCATTTTACAATTTAAGCAGTCAAGTATGGGCTGTACAATAACAACAATAAAAAGAAAAGAACAGGTCAAGGTAACCTTTCAAAGCAAACTCTCCTGACCTTTCTGAAAGAGGAGAGTTGAAGCCTTTTCTCAGTACTTCCCTTTTTTATTCCAGCCTTCTGTGACCTTCTCTCATTATCTATTTTGTTTCTCAAAAAAAAAACCAAACCAAACCAAAACCCCAAACAAACCCCCCAAAAACACCAAACAACAGGGAAGGGAGCTTCAAAGTTTCACTAGCAGAGTATTCAGCAAAAGTTGAGACCAGAAAGATTAGGAGCAACATCTGTAAGGACTTCTGTGAAACAGAAACAAGGCAGGCCAGAAAGAATTAAAGAAATGGGTGACAAAACTTAATCATAAGGCAAGTGATTTCCCAGAAAAGTTGTAAAAAAACCAAAACAAACAGCTTCTAAGATTAAACTGTATTCGTTGGTATACGAAATGTTTAAGAACAAATATTTCAAATCAACATTAATCTTTCTTCTTACTAACAAAATATTATTTCCTAGTTAGAGCTTCTAAGAGATGAGCTGCTTTCTGAGACAGAGGGCTGCACAGCCATATTAAGGACGCACTAAATGCAACATTACCATTCCGCATATTACGAAATCAGAATGCCTTCCTGTAGACAACTAAGCAGAGCAGCTGAGCTGTTATGTCTAGTCTTTCACTAGAAAGCTTATCTTTTTATTAGTAAATAAAACCCCCCAAGCATATTACAGTTAGAGGGCTGAGATTTAAAGAAGGATCCATCATATTTACATTCTAACACTTAGAATGGCACGTGCTTAAGAGATTGCCTGAGAGTCTTCATGCCACACAGACCTTCAGCTGACCCACACGTAGCTACAGGTTAAATACGTGAAGTTCCCATGGACTTACGTCCCAAGTAACAGAGAGGCAAGGCTAGGAAAAAAATCAGGATTCACACATTTACCTGATAGCCCCCCACTTGGTAAAGAAGAGATGTAGAAGGAAACACTTTGTACATGAGAATGACTGCCTCACACGTCAGCTGAAAATGCTATAGTTTCAAGCATTAATGGGCATATTTTAAGGAAATTCATAAATACATAGAAGGGCAATGTGCTTAGTGCACAGAAGCAATGGCACATAACATTGTAAGGGGTGTAAGACCAAACAAAAATAATCAGAAAGCCAAATTATTCAAGAAAGTCAGAAATGCAGATAGAATTTATGTAAGAACTGAAATGTACAATGGTAGGAAAAAAAAATTAATGCCAACTTGAAATTAAATTTTTAATTTAAATAAGCCATACAAGTGAACCAAAATAATTACAAAATACTTTTACTCAGCAAAAGATGTTTCCAACAAGTATTATTTTTGTTACTGTATTATTCAGTGCAAAGTAAACCAGAAAATTATCTCGGCCACAATTCAGTTAGAAATATATCTCAACTACATATGATTTTTCTTTCTTTATATTTGGTTTTGTATATTTAGATTCAGAATTGACAGAAGGCCAAAGGTATCAGAAAGAGACAGGAAAGATAAATACTTTCATGACAGACTGAACTGTCAGAATTACAACATCCTGTAAGAAAGATTTTTTTTTTTTTTTTTTTTTACAGTAAGACTTAGTTCCCTCTAGTAAAGTAGGGGAATTAAAATTAACTGTTTAATAATAACTGAAAGTACCTGAAACTGTTCTACCATTTCAAGCAGGTCCCTTTGCTCCTAATATTCCTCTATTAAGTGAGCCATAGAAGGCATGCTTACAGAACCTTTGTGTGGTTTATATGCTAATAAAAGGGGGGGGAGGGGGGAGAAATAGGAGAAGCTTTTGCAAGACCTGCATATTACATCTCCCACAGAAATCAGCTAATCACTCAGTTAAATACAGTCTTCAGCACTCCCAGTGCCCGTCTGCTTGTTTCTTGGAGAAGGGAGGCGGGAGTAAAGGGAAAGAGGTAGCATGACAAAAATAAAGTTCTTAGCATTGCCTTAATTTGTTATCTGTGGTACATCTTTGAAGTCAGAAAGTTTATTAAAAATTATTCTTAAAACAGTTTTTCTACACAACAGAAGTAAAAGACACATTTCATATTGAGCACCCAGGAAACTAGTGCACTGTCCTTTAACTATGTTTCCAAAATATAACTTTCAACCATATGGTCCTTAAATATCTGGAAGAGCAGTCCAGTTTATTAGAAAGTGTAACAAATATATGCAATTAAAAAAAAAGCTCGTCAAGAGAGACTATTACAGTATACAGTGCTATTTCCATTGGAAAACAGATAAACAAATTCCAAATAAAACTAACAGAAACCCAAAAATCTCTAAGATGTAAAGACCATCAATGAACATATTTACATTAAACAAAACAAACCATGGCATATTGTATATTTGAAGTTTTATTGATGGGAATGCAAATATAACCATGGCATATCACAAAAACAATTTATAGCATTTCATTAAAAGAAGTTCCTTAAAAACATCTGCAACCATCAATACCAAATACACTGAATATTTGAATCCTGGTATCTTAAATCAAAATATTCCTCTAGAAGCCTATTGTAGGTGGTTACTAAAAACCCAACATCAAACTTTGTAATAAAAAAATTGCAGAAATACCTAAAAATGGGCACCTAAAGTCTGTTGCTATCTCATGCAGCTGTATTTCAGGAAGTGATGATTATTCTTTCTCAGGAAAATAAATATTTCCATTTGGTCAAAAGGTGCCCCCCCCTAAAAAACAGAGGGGCATTTCCTGATGGCTAATTATCACCTAAAACTCAAATGAATGCAAATGTTTATTGTTAACACAAATCTTTTTAAAAAATATGCTCTCCAGTCCCAAGATTCAATTTAATTCATCAATGTGTACACCTGAAGTGCTATGTTGTCTACATTCAGTTTTCCAGGAAGAGATACTAAAAGCAAACAAGTCACCACAGTGTATTTTAGCTGAACTGTTCATTTTCTTTAAATCATTCTTCCTTTCCAAGGAACTTGTACACCTACTGACAAAGTCTGTAAAAGAACGCTATTCATCTTTCATTTCTCTCTCATGTCTTCATTGCTTGGATCTGATCTGTCAATAAAAAGAAAGAGCTAGTCTTAACACAAGATGAATTCTTGCTATATTTTGCTTTTTGAAAACATAACTCAGTGTTGTCCAGGTTATAAAATACCACCAATAGATATTTTGGTGCAGTTACAAGAATGGGGGACAATGCAGTCCCAGTTGTTTTCAACTTGCTCTCATCCACTTCTGAAACTCCTGCGCAGCCAAGTTGGTTGCCCCAAATGTTGCTAATTGAACAGGAAGATTCTTCTAAATAATTCAATTTTTATCTTTTTTCAGGTTTATAAGGTAACTTTGGTGAGAATAAGGCCTGGAAGTTTACTTCATCAAGTATGCATTTCAATTCCTTGTACACATTTCAGCTTTCATATAACTGAACATGAACTAATTCCTCAACAGCAAAGGATTTAAAGTTTGGTTTTGAATAACTGGCACGAAAGCTTCTTTGTTCTCAGTAGCCACACTTCTCCATGCTGCTGCCTGATTGCTACTTCTCAATTCACTTCAAACATTTCCTTACTTAGCATAAATGTACTGCATCCCCATTACAAAAACGTGGAAGTCAGCATAATTTCCCCCACTAACAGGGAACATGAGCTGGGTCTAGACTGCTGTGAGGCAGGTTAGTTTTACGCTACTGATGATGTATTGTTGCAGCAGTGATCCCATTACAAAATAGGGTAATATGCAAACTCAGCTTTTGCTAGAGGAAAAAAAGGCAAAGTCTTCTGCCCCTGCTGCCCCAAATCTGTGAACTACCTGGTTGGATCTGCAAAAGGTAACCAAGGGAAGCATGTCTGCTGACAAGGAGAACTGGGCATTCATTAACCAGGTGTCATTTCCTCCACTGAATTTTATGGCACCCATGGGCTGTGATTTGGAGACCACTGTAACTTAAGAGTTGTTCCAAATATTTCCATCTAGTACTCTACGAACAAGGAGATTTGTAGTAAAAATGTATTCGTGAAATATCAAAGTCTTAATCTGTTAAAAGTGTAACTGCCAAACTGCAAGTGCTTAGGCAACAATACGGTTTAAACCCAACCCCTCTCAACCTTTTGGGGACACTGAGCCAGGGAGTTAAAGGACATTTTTAGATGAAGCCCATATGTGAAGAGTATCAGCTCAGAAAATTAATCAGTTTAACAATCCATGAGAAGCAAGTAGCTATGAAGAGCTAATAAAGTGACAGCAGAAGCACCTGTTTACTGTTCTTAAAAATCTACATATACAACTTAAGTATTTTGTCAGAAAATATTTAGACAAGCATTGGAGATCCTTTTATGTAGCTTGCAGCTACATACAAAACCATCAACTCAAAATCTGAAACTCATAAGGCTCCTCAACAATAAGCAGAGACCTTGAAAATCACAGGAAAATATTACAAAATACGCCTGAAATTAGGAAAAAGTACATGATTTGGAATCTGCCTCTATGATAATAGGTTACAGCAGTGAAGGCAAGTCAGTTGTAAGATGCTGGTTTCCCACCACAGAACTCTCTTAGATGGTGGAGGATGCATCACTGCTCTTCTGTAGGGCAGTAAATCTCTTTGCAAAGACTATTTTTGGCTAGCATCCCTTCCCCTGAAAACACGACCAAATGTTTTTGCATTGTGTAATAACACAGTAAAACAAAACATCTCTTTCTAATTATCAATAAGCATTCTAATGAGAAAGGACAGCCTGGCATCCATGGGTAAGTGGAGATATGTCGAACGGGGAGCAGTGCTGGGTGTTACCTGGCTGCACGGCGAAGGCAGGGGTGCCGTGGCCGTGGGCCTGGAGCACCGCTGACATCTGCCGGCTGCCACGGCACAGAGCACGCCGCGACGCGGAAACCGTCCTGCGGGCTCAGGTTATTCTGCGCTACCTACTACACCCAGTGTCAGCAAGGTCAATCTGGGAGCCACGACTGGGATGAGTCTACCAAAACAATAGCACACTTCTCTATTCTATACATTTAGCAGTACGTGGGAGGACAAAAGAGACAAGATTCTTACCAACGTACAACAGAAGGATACACAGCATCCGTACCAAGTTTGTAATGAAAAACGTGGACGTAATACATCATGTAAGGTAGATCTGATATTTTCTATGTAGTTATGAATGTCTGCATAGTCTATGATCCTTACAATATAAACTCTTTTTATTTTGGGTCTGAAGAACTGAAGTTGAATAAGCAAAACTAGTGTACTTTGCTTATTTTTCTAGCCTGCTTATTCACCATTTCCTGATACATAACATCAAGTTATGTAAAACTGGAACAGCACAAGGGGAATAAATTAAAGAACAAACTGAACTACCACAATAACAAATTGAAGTGCAGGAGCTGGTGTGATTGTTTACAAGAAACTGTTACACTGTTTGCAAGAGTATGCATTAGTACTTCATAGTACACACTTCTGTCAGAGAAACTGACATATCTTTTGTGTACATGAAGGCAGTAAATGAAAGGCAAATATGAGAGAGAGCATCAGTACTCACTGTGTAATTTGATCTGAAAGCAGAAGTGCACAGAAATAAAAGAAAAGGAAGTAATAAAGAAAAAACCCTGCAAAATGAAAAAGTTTAACAAGCTGAAAACAGAGCAAGAGAATTATATATGATGTACCTTGGAGCCAATCCACACCTTCTTGTAATCCCTCTCCTTTAAGAGCATCACTGGCGCTGAAAGAAACAAATCAATTTGTGAAAACATTGCAAAAATACCAGTTTTAGTGGAATCATCACTATACTTGTTACTTACAGAATTGCAAAGTAGCATCAAGTACCGTTAACTTAAATTTTCTTCACATGAGGAAGGCTGCTTCTCAAATAATACATTCTAGAGTACCTTCCCATTTCAAGATGTGATTTATTTAAAATCCAGGTTCAGGGCAGAGGAATTGTTCCTAGAACATGAGGGGTTCTGGAAGAGCTCCCACACCGAGCAGCCACATTGTCCTGTGGCACCTCCACTTTGATAACTCCCTCCTCAGACTATGCCATAAAAGATGTTTACTACCTGTAACAACAGCAAGGAATCATAGAATCATTTAGGTTGGAAAAGACCTTTAAGATCATGGAGTCCAACTGTCCTCTCACACAGTTCTTATACACAGCAAGAATGCTGGAGTACTGGAGGAAGAAAGTATAGTGCATACACACTTCATTGTAACAGCAACCCTAGGAATGTATGTTATTACTATATATTAATATTAAGCTACACTGAGAACAGTGTAAATCTAGCTTTTGAATCACAGGGGTATAACTGCTTAAAGGCCCCTCATTCTTCAGCTTAAGAAAAGTAGCACAGCAGTCAATCTGGACTGTTACTGTGGTTTGCTATAAAATTACCTTCCAAGGAGCTTGGGAGTTCATCAATGTAATTTCTGAGACAAAATGCAGTGACTCCAAAGCAACACCCAGATAATTAAGTTTAATATTAAGGGGCTTAAAATGAAAGTTGTAGTTTCCATCAGCATTTAGCTGCGAATTTAACTTTTACTTATAGTATCTGAGGACCTTAATAAGACAACAATCTAACTTCTGTAAAACACTTCTGATAAAAGGAGAGTTTTTTTCTTTGTGAACACTGGCACAAAATCTTTCTATTTATATGAAAGCTTACATTCTTCAGAAAAAAACAAAAAACAAAAAAACCACACTGGTTCCTATAAGTAAAAATCCCCTCAAACATTACATGGTACAGAGAGTACCGTGTCCCTCTGAATTCACGTGAGAACAGCTTCCTAAATGGCCTTTGAACAGAATTTTACTAAAGCATCTGTAGAGTGGGAAGAAAACAACTTTAAAGGTTTTATTGTTGATATTCTGAAACCTGCAATACAAACTAGCAGCAGCACTCTGGTAACAATTCTACTCAATTTCCTGGCAAAAACTAATAGCAGCTATTCTTCTGATAAGAACGCTGCTTTCTGATTGCACTAGAAATCTTCTGTTTTGTTATTTGGGTAGCAGTTCTATTATGAAAATTTTCAAGACACATTCTACATGAATCCATTGTGCATTTGAAATAAGTTTCATAGCAAGTATTGTAATATTACTACTGTTTCCACATGTGGCAGCACAGCATTTTATCTGTTTGATTTAATTTATGTTATATAATACGGAGTGGCATGACAGAGCTAAAATATGAATGTACAAAGTAATACCAATAAAAAGAGTAGAAAAAGGGAAATTTACCAGATATGCCAGGGCTTGTCTTTGATGTTTTCTAATGACAGTAACTGAGATACTTTCACAGATGATACTGCATCCCTGAGGTCCATCTTGTTAGCAAAGAAGAGAATAGGCAGTCGACGGTGCTTAATATCTAGGCACGAGCAGAAATAGAAGTATCATGGCATTATGCAACACTTACTAATTTCTACATGTAATAAGCTACAAACAGTACCGGAAGATATTTTGCTCACCTGTAAATGCAATGTTCTGAAGGTTGTATCCTACCAAGACGCACACTGTTGGGTTACATGGCCTATGATGCACACTTCAAGAACGCTCACAAACTTTTTAGCAGGCTTTTGGATCTTCCACCCCCTCTCTCCCTACCTTATACATACATTTAAAGATGTAGGTATAAATTGCTGGTGAAGCTGAGGAACAGGAAATCAAACAACTGTCTACAAATACTACACATCTCCACTTAGGACTGGATACATAAAATGGACAGAAAAATGACTTGTGTTTATTTGTAACCTCACAACAACAGTTGCACAAGGGCATCCATACCTTCATAAAATAGGGAAAAGATGCCCGTGTCTGGACATCCCTTACCCTCCCTTCACTTGAAGGAGAACTTATTTTCCAGAAGCTCTTCCCAGCTAGCAGTGTGAATTACAGACCAAAGCAAACACACTGCCAATTTTTGGCACACTTACAGACTCAAAAGCATAAGCCTTGCCCATTACCACAAAACAGGAGAGAGTCACCGGAAGGCAACAAAGTATACTCTCTTCAACCTGACAGATGTTAAAACTGCCAAAAAATTACCAGCACCAAGACTAACTGTAAGAATTTTTCACATTATTTAAACAAAGGATGAATTACAGGATTAGACAAAGTCTAGATGTGAGTCTATCAATCAGTTCTTGATGGGAAAAGAACTTAAAAACCCCCCCTGTGGCAAAAATTGCTATATAGGCTCTTTCTCAGATAGTAGAAAGTTATTCCACATAGGAAAAAACCTAAGAATTTATTTTAAAAACTTCAAACAGAAACCCAAAAAACCCAATAAACTGTCAATGCTGAAGTGGTTTGAACCTTCCTAATTATGTTCTTTTCAAAACCCCTAATGAACCTTTCCACAAAATCAGTGGAGATAACATTGTTTACCCATACTCTGAGATCATGAGCGCTGACCAAAATGCTGTCAATTTTCACAACTATCTACCCGATCTGGAGCTATTTTTCCTCTGATATCCTCTAACACAAATCAAAGGCCTCAAAATACAAGCACAGTGTAATTAAATCTGTTTTGATTCTATAGTTAAAACAGCTTTTGTGTCTCTTGATTGAAATGTCTACATTAATCTATACTATAATTAAATGAACCCTGGTACCCACAAGTTGCAGGTTTCAGATAAATTAAAACCACAGAAATTAGTTGACATTATATATGCAAACAGCCAAGTTAATCAAGGAATTTTCAGTGTTTTTTTAAAGCAATTAAAATGGGTCACAACCCACCCAAATAAACTTATAAATGTACACTTAAAGATTTTTGCTAAATAAAGTGGTGATCACAGAAATTTACATTATTTCCTACCTTATGACATTGTTTCCTACTATGCAGTATTCCGCCCCCAACACTTCCTACAGTTATTAATGGAAAGCTGACATTTTCTAGTTGCAAGTAGTTATGAGTTAACACAATAAAAAAAAAAAATTCCAGACACTAGATATGTGTGATGTATAATTTTATGCAAAGAATTTCAAATTTACAGGAATTTCAGTTTAGTCTAGAAGCATGTGCTGGAGGTCAAGTGACCCAAGAGTCAGTACCTAAAATAAATAATCTGCAGACTACCATCTTGCAAAATGCTGAAGAATTAAGTTTGATTAAAAAAATAATCCACTAACAGTGATCATTAAACAAGCCATTACTTGTAGTGTGCGTTGTCCACTTCTGCAAGTAAAAATAATTTATAGTTCTGATTCACAAAACAGTCCCAGCTAGTACGTCCAACCCCAGTACACATTTCCTTTCACCTGACCATCTCAGGCAAAGTCTGGCAAAAAGAGAGGGAGCTGTTTTACTGAAGAATTGCTAAGACTTTCAGAAACAGAAATTGATTCAAGGTTGTTACTGTGCACCCACTTAAACCTTAAGTAAAGATGTAAATTTAAACCACTCTAAGAGGTTCACAGAGGGGAAAAATCAGGGTATGCAGGAAGAAAAGCAGAACAGTATATATTGATATAGTAAAACAGTTACATATTGATTCAGTTAACAGCTACTTTTATCAAACAGAAGAACTTTTTACTCTCTTTGGTTCTCTTATATGTGACCTATCAAAGTCTGAAATGATAAAACAGGAACACTGTTGCTGCAATTTAGCTGAGCTGCTTCAAGGCAGAAATACACAACTGCCCTTTCCTAGTTCCAGGGAATGTACTAGGTGGCCATAGTCATGGTCTTTCAGAACTAGAAGACACACACACATCAACAACTGACCAGCACTGACCTGCTAGATCAGCATTAATAACCTATTATGCCCAGATGAAAAGCCCTACCTTAGTTTGCATCTCCTCAGTATTAACATTTTCACTCTTTGCCTTCTAATAAACCACTAACTTATTACAGCAGTCTTTACTTCCCACCCTTGGTCCCATGTGGTTTCAGTTTTACCAACAGAATCACCTTTTACCACTGTGGTTAATATCTGCTTTGGTACAAAGTTCCCCAGCTTCTATGTAATCCACCTGCACCCTTTGGTTCACCTCACTCTCCCCTTTGACCTTTGCAAGACTGTCTTTTCAGCATCTGTATTTGGAGCGGCCCGTACGCCTGAACATGAAATTAAGAGGGCCCGGTCTGCTCAGACACACTCGACTACAGCATCTTTGTTGATGTACTAATGTATTATATGCAGTCTTCATGGCAAATAAAATCATAGTAACATAATTGTCCCGATCACATACTAATTTTCTTGGTTAGAAATCCAAGTCAGCCTCTCCTTTCTTACTTTCAGCATGACAATCCCACAAGTTAAGGCTCTACCAGTTTAATAAATATGGAATTACAGAACTATTTCACTTTTAAATTTCCTGCATGTAGTTTTATAATCTGGTTAGTCAGAGTAACTACCTGAAGTGCTGAAAGTCAAAATTGCGTATTGCTTACAAAAGCATTCAGCAATGTTGGCTATACAGAAGGGCAAAGAAGTGAAAAATTGACTGAGTCCAGAACTTAATTTAAAAAGTATAGCCTCGTATTAAAAAAACAAACCAAAACCCTAAAACCAAACCCCCAATCTTGAATCCTCTCATACTATATTCCAATCCATGTATCCTTTTATAGGCAATTGAAACTGACTGATGTAATTATCCCTCCTTGTTCCTGGCTAAAGCATAATATGGAGAAAAAAAAAAAAAAAAAAAAAAAAAAGAGGGACAATGAAGATAAAAAGGAGATATTTAAAGTTATACTAAAGGAAATGGAAAAATCCAGACAGGGAGACACTTTTTTTGTATGTGTTCATCAGCACATGCAAGCTTTCCAGCTTCCAAAGGGTCAAAGTCTGCTCTTTCTCAAAACAGTGCAACTTTGGATCCGTATTGATTAATAAGAGACCAATCCAATTCAGTGTAGCTAACTGAAGTATGATTGGTTTGTAAATATGAATAGGTATTCAAAAAACCCCCAAAATTATTGAAGACTATTACTGTTCTCATTTTGAATGGCTAAAATATTTGTAAAGTACTCAGAATGCAGAATGTGTCAGATAAAGGCTTTTCTTAAGACAACATAACAAATACGGAGACAGAAGGGGAAAAAAGCCTCCTCACCTGGATGATTCAGAAGGGTGTCAAGTTCTTCTTTGGCCACAACCATTCTTAATTTGTCACTGCTATCAATGACAAAAATAATGGCTTGGCCTTCTCTGCATGACATAAAAAGAGCAAAGAGGCAAATTATAGGTTGTCTTAAACTGGGATTAAGAAAAGGCTTCAGAAGAAACAGCAAAGAAGTGCAAAACAAACCTGATGTTTTTCCCCCGCTAATTTTTCTTGGTATTATTTGCCATTAACATTTGAATCTAGTCTTATTTCTGAAATTCAGTCTTTTGGTAACCTGTGTAATTTTTTGAGACACGAGATTCTTAGCTGCGCAACTCATACAAAATTCAGACTACACAGACCCTTCAGAAAAATCTGATTTCACTACTAAGGCTGAAAAAGTAACCAACTGCTATTCTGACAGTGTGGTTAGACAAAGAAACTCTCCAGACAGGTTTCTGTAGAAATTGTTTATCTCTTACACTAGAAGAAGTTTATTTAGAGAAAGTTTTTTCTAAAAAGGTAATTGACCTATCTCCACAGCTGTTCAACAAGTAGGCATATGCAGATTAATGTAACTTTTACCAGAATCTGCATAAACAAGATCTTTCTTTTGTTTTGAGTAACAAGTAAAAACTTTCAACTGTTTCAAATCATTAAGACATTTTGCTGGCAATATCTCCATAGTCATAACATAGATAAAACTATTCAACTCCCTATTTCAGGCTATTATTGATATTTTATGACTTGATATTCCATTTATTGAAACTTATTTGAAAACAAAATAAAATCTGACCAATTCAGATGAACAATTATAAACACCACAAAAAGTATTTTTCAATTATATTTTCATGTAATATTCGCTTCTCCTTCGTTTTACATTTCTCAGAGAGACTACGAGGGATACATTCTTCACCCCCCAGCACCATCTACCTTCATATTTTGGTAAGAAACACTCCTAGGTCTACTGAAAAACAGAAATAACTTGGCTTGTCTAAGATTGAATGAGAAGGTCCATTCTCTTCTGGAGTACAGAAGAGCTTTAACAGCAAATAAAGCTTTCACATATTAGCTGAAAATGCCTAAGTATTTTTTATGAGCATACAATATTTTTTTAGAGGGGTCAGAGTCCTAGCAGGTATTTACTACCAAAAAGTAACTTCACAAACAAGTAACAGTAATGGGGACACGATGTGAGCTTACATATATTTAAGACAAGTGTACTTTGAGGACATTCTAGAATAAGTTTCAAGCTAAAGAGAAGGGCAAGCTTCAAGTACTCCAAAGCAACTACTTAGACACACTTGATCAAATTTGATTGCCATTTTGCAATTTTTACAAAATTAAATCTTGCTAAACTTTATAAACTGAACAGCACATTATTATTTTTACATTCTTCTTCAAAGTTAATCTTAAATATGTGACTACTGCACTGGATCAAGAACAGAGGTGGATAGATGTGCACATTTCACTGTCAGCATTACCTAATAAACTCCCTTACTGTTACAGTGAAAAAAATCAGTTTATGCCACACAAGGGATAAGTTACTGCATTAAATACAGAAGTCATAAAAATTATTTGCTTATGAAGCACTCTGCTAGCATTGAGAGCAGCCTAAGGGCATCAGTTACTGAAATCCAAAAAATCTGGGAGACATAAATCTGACGCTCCTGAACAATGAAGATCTCCGACCTGCGCAACAGGTTTTCAGATTGCTACAACATATTTTGCACAAAAAGGAGATGAGGTGTTAATCCTCAATTAAAGGATACTTTAAGATCTATCACATTAGAAATTAATATTTAATCAGTATTATAAACTTCAGAATTTCTCCATTCTATTTCTCCAAGCTATTTCTGTGTGGTTTACTACTGTTCACCTTATTTAGATCATCATCAGGTATTACAGAATAACAATAAGACAACATAAATGAAGATTCAAGTTTCATTAGAAGCTAGAAAAACAGAAAATGGTGTCTATTACCAATAAGGCAATGCCATAACACTGAATATCCTGCTTGATAAATAACGTCTAAGAGTACTTGGTCAAGGTCTGAGTTACATATGCCTCATTCTCTGAGGTTAAATTCCCTCACCTCTAAAAAATCTCAGCCATCAGCCAGTATCTTTTGGGTCTTAAGTTACTTACCTACAGAAGAACAGGAAAATAAGAAACCTAACTTGTCTTTGTGCTTTCTTACAGGATTGGTTTTCAGGTTTCAACATCTAAAACCCATCCCTAGTACGCTCCCCTAATCTTTGAGTCAACAAGATATTCCTAAAAGCATGCTGATTAACAGCATATAAAGATTTTAGATCAGAAAGAAAAGTTGTATTTATCCAGAATGACCTGTCAAACACCAGGTGTAAGTCTTCCCTGAATCATTTCTAACCACTAGGTATTATCATACTTCTGTTTACATAACGTACAGGACAGTCAATATGAACAGTAATGCTTTCAAATAAATGACAGGCTTACTTGTAGTAATGTTCCCAGAGGTTTCTGTATCTCCCTTGACCTGACATATCAAACACTGTGAAAGACAAACTGCAAAGAAAAGAAGTGTATGAGGCACTGAAACAAAGAGCAAAACCCAAACCCAAACTATTTTCTTTGCTACCCTAACAGAAAAAAGCCAGATCAACTTGAATCCTAATCAACTGAGAATGATTCCCAAAGGAACTCTGATTACTCGTATCTGCCTTCAAACTACCCTACTCAGTTTTGCAGTCTTATTATAGGAATATTTCACAATGGAAAATGTGTTTATTTATTCTCTGAATAAAGGAATTAAACCAACTAGAAAAGGTTACATCAAATACAAAATAAGTTCCCATTCAGCCTCTCTTTCTATCATGTTAGTATCGAATATTGTTCATAATGTTGAGTAAATGAAATTCAGATGAGCCATGACTTAAAATCCACAGCCTGTCTCATTCTGTCCCTAGACAGGCACCAATAACATCCAAAGGCTTCTGTATGCAAAATAAAAGGCTGTAAAAAAATAAAATATAATTCCACCTTCAGAAAAAAAAAAAAAAAAATCACATTCTGGTAGTAACAGGTGACCAAGCTACAAAGGGTAGTCTTCACAACTTTAAGATTTCACCCAAACACTAAATACAGCAAGTCAGCTTATAGAATATTACCAAAAATTCTGACCCACTCCTGAAATGTCTACAGAGGCAACATCGACTTCAGTACTACGCTTTCCTGTTTTGGGTAGTCCCAGAGTGGAGGCCACAGCAAAATGAGGAGGTTTTGAAAAGGAACCTCTCCAGACATCCTTTACTCTCTATATACAGACATCATCTGATTCTAAACTAGCTGTTCTGCCATGTATAAAGTTATTAGTGACCCCCAAACAATGTTTTGAATGTAATATTAGAATAATGAGGTTTTGAGGTGGGTTGGTTTGGTTTTTTAATCATTCCACATGATGTACTTGCAGGACATCTCTCTTACTACAGGATCAGAATAAAGGAAAGCAATGTAAATCTATTTACATTCTCACACACCCAAATCCCAAATCTGTCTCGTGTGCTTTAGTGAGACAGAGTACAGTTGTTGAGCCTCCTATAAAAATAGGAAACCTATCAGTTCCACACATCAGCTCAAGGAATTAACAATTTTCTTGCAGATCTCTCATCCAGTGGGACATGCTGCTTGATATGAAGACTAACTGCACCCATTAAAAATACACTGTGAAGGCTATAGAATAATAAAATAATATCTAATGTTACCTCCTTGAAGTATCTTTGCCTCACAACATTCCTTTTCTAAATCTTAGCCTTTATTCAACTAATGATTTCTTCCTTTTTCCTGACCTTTGCCCCTGACATCTTTACACTGCTAACACTGTAGCCACCATTTTTCATTTAATGAGATTATACTGCAATCTCTTCAGAGTCACTCCAGTGAGAGTGCTTAATGGAATATAATAAGCAACTGTCTCTCAAGTCTGTAACAGTGACCAATTTGAAATTCTTAACAGACAGAAATCAGATGCTTATACACATTATTGCAAAAACATTTTTTTTTTAAAAAAAAACCCACATACATAGATTTATAGCAACACAAAACATACAATATATTCTAAAACTGTCAGTCCTGAATCATGGCTAGGACTCCTGGGTACTACAACATTCAGCAAACTGCGTGTGATGCCATTATGCCACCACACATTATACTCAGTTACATCCCACTGAAAGAGGTAATTAAGTCCAACTATTGTATGCTAGTTACTTCTGCTAAATGGAGAAAATAAAAAGAAACTACTACCTCGAAGTCTTGAACTTCTCTATACTGAATCCTATTGTTGGAACGATGTCCTGAGCTTGAGCCTTTGAAGAAAAGAACGTACAAATTTTACAGTCAAGTTAGAAAATGTAAATACATAAATATATTTGAAACATGAATACATTACAGATCTATTTTTCCCCAAACTGTGCAATACAAAACCTTTCTATAAATTCTGATAATTTATATTTAAAAAGTTCCCAGAAATTACAGTAATTCAAAATCAAGACTTTTTATTTTCTAGGAAATACTGTGAATGCTATTGGACAAGAACACTGAAGACATTTTGGCTTCAAGAGTGAGATTCCACCCTTTACATTAGTCTGTGTGTACACGTATGTGTGGATATTACCTGTGAAATAAATAGGAGATAGGTTAACACGGAAGATAATGACTTGAAGATTATGACTGAGGTCATAGTTCACAATATTTGTGCACTTTGGAAATCATAATGTCAGCCCAAATAAGTCTGCACAATACCCCAAGCCTCTTTGATAAAAGATGGTATACTTCTATCAAGATACTAGATTGGACATACTCCCAGCTTCTATCCACAGGCTGAAGGAGTCTACTTGACAGTGGGAATTATACAGCAGACATTACACAATGGCCTACCCATAGCTCTATTCAAACTACACCATCACTGGAAGAAATCACCATCTACCACAGAGGAATGGCCAAAACATAAAACATCATTACTAGATCTGTCTGATAACCAGGTTTACTGCTGAGCTAGCCAAGGAACCTAACAGGTAAGTTGGTACCACAGTATAACTTCTTTAAGAAGCATCAGTATTAAGCAGGGAGAAAGGTCACATTACTTCGATTACAGAGCTGTCTGAGAAAGTGACATGCAATTGTTTTACAGACTTTCTAGAGCCCCTTTTTGAAAACACTATCTATAAGCAGTTGGCTTTTCACATACAAGTGAAGCAAAGCTTAGCTTGTTCACCTGCAGATTCATTATAAAAATAGCATTCCACCATAGTAAACAGTTTAATCAACAGCTCCTCTCACCAAGGGATGATATTTGCAGAGCAGAAGAGGTGTTATTTTTTTAACAATTATTTTAAATGTATTTATCAGGCCTAGAAGAAACAACTGCAAACAGATAGAGCAAGACTTGTATTTGCCAGATGCTTAATATATTGCTCATAGGGCAAAGCAGCAGTAGTTCTTAAAAAGACTGGGTTGATCCAGAGCTCCAAATCATCTGTTCATTTAACTTACTAAAAATAAACAACTTCATCAAGTCTGATCTAATGACATTTGTTGTACATTAGTTTGTCATGTCTTGCAAGGATAGGACTCACACAAGTTGTATGCAAAGCTACTCTCCTAAAGCATCACATTAAATGAAAATGTTCAGAAGTAAATTCTCATTACACAATTTACAGTAAAGCAAACAAATTCTATTTATTCTATTTGTGTAATTCCCTTAGGACCTTCTCTAATACCTATTATTGTGATAAATCTTCAAGTCTGCATTCAACTCTGGTTAGGAATCCTTTCCTGCCTAAGGCATGACATAAAGACCCTATTACAATAAAGGTCTCAAAAATTACATATATAAATTTGCCTGGTACAAATTGTAGCATTTCCCCAAAATGACTGGCAACAGATACTAAGCAGTTTATAGTCTTTCTTTATAAAATCTGTTTAATTTTCAGTGGAAGGATAATGTCCAGGAATGGAAGAGTAGTAGACTCTTTGCCATGTTTTATTTTCTTAAACAATGTCCACTGGTCCTCTTCAGGAAAAGTTCAATGGAAATTAAAAAATAAAAGTTGTGTCCTAGTGTAAACAGCAGAAATCATGGTTTCCCAGATGTGTATAACCAAGATGCACAAGCCCCTGGCTTTGAATATACCTACCAAAATTAATCTGTTTCTATTCCATAAACATACCTAGAAACGAGGGAATCCTACTTTAGATTTTGCTCAGAATACTGTGTGAATCTTAGTGGCCTGAAACACTTTTCATCCTATAGCAATTATTTAAGTGACTTAAGAAAACTGTTTCAGATCCAGATTTCAGTCATCATAAACCCTTCCTTATTGGGTGATCTTAGAAAAACCATGACATATTAACACATGTTTTTTGGAAATGTTTTCATAATACACATGTGGATGATTACATTTAATTTTAGTTAATTGGGAACTGTTAAAATATATTTGCTGCACTGTACTAAATCAGAAAGCTCTTCACATCTTTTCCATGGTCACATTTAGCATAACAGCATGCAAAACCAGTTAAAGAAACATCAACTCCACAGTAAAACCATCAACCGTGACCTAAGAAGCCTACTTACATTTGAAGGTTTAAGTCTATTTATGATTGTAGTTTTGCCGCTGTTGTCCAAGCCAAGGCACAAAACGTGAACCTCCTTTTTCTTCAGCCCAAGCCATCCCGCTAGCTTGTCAAATAATCCCATAATTCTGGCTCAAATACAGAGGGATCACCTGTTGTTCAGAAAATCAGAGAAGGAAATAGCTCTTGGAAAACCGTTACATGTAGAGTAGCGCTACCACAGTAGGTGGGCATGCAGCAAAGCAATCTTTAAACTTTTAAAAGGACAGTGTGCATAAGACACTATACAAACACTGTCACAGCAGGTTTGCTTGGTATACTAAGCAAATGGAGCGTAAGCTGCTTATGGCGAAGAGGCCTTGACACAAAAGTAGATTGGCTGTTTATAGCCCTGCCTATATAATGCAATGTCCTTCATTCCCTGGGTAGCAATACCGCCATCGTTCTGAGAAGTCCAAATAAGAGTACAACTGCAACGCCTCCTTATCTTCCACCAAGCAGGAAAAAAACAAAAAAAAAAAGGAAGACCATTACATTTTACTTCAAATTGTCTGTAGTCTAGTCAGTCATCATAATTTAGATGATAAAACAAAACAGTATTTTCCTTCTTCAACATCTGCTACAAAATTTACTGAACCCTAAGGTAAATAAAGTACCCTCTGTCAATTCAATTCAAACTCTAATTGTAACAGGCTTTGCTGATATTAACGTGTATAAATTAGGAACTCATTCACTACAAATAGAAACTGATTATAACAGATCCAACAGACATGAAGCCAGACACCTGTAATAAATAACAGAAGAATTTTGCTTTCACTAAAAGTAATTACACAATTACTTTTACTGAGTTAGGCTAAAACTGTTATTAAAGATTAGTGTTGTTAAAATTATAACAGTTAAGCAAGCCTTTTTTGATCACAAGTTAGGCATATGGTTGGGCATTGTGTGGAGTTGGACAAGCAAAAGGATGGGGGGGTGCTCTGTGGTTAGGTATCATGTAAAGAGGAATGGAAGCCAGCAGACACCTCCCCCTCCCCCCCCGAAGAGGAACACCGAGACCAGCTGTAAATTCCAGAGAGGAGGAAGGGGCAGGGGGGAAGGAAAGCGAGTGGACTTGTTGCTTGGCTTAGCTGTGTTGCACTGTTCTTTGATTTCATGTTTAAACCGAAGGTAACATACAACATTGCTGTTGCCTCCCCCGCTCAGCAGCTGTCTGTTTTGTGATAAGAAGTAGTGAAGCAGTGGAAAAGTGCAGGGAGAGACAGCCCTGAAGAAACCAAGTAGTAACTGCGCAGGTACAAAAAGGAGGACTGGAACTATAAAAAGAAGCCCCTACTGGGGTAGGGCGTGCACCACTGCGCCCAGCGCTGTATTCTTTGCTCCACTGACTTTGTCCCCAATAAAACCTTTTTTTTATATATATACGCGGGCTTGTTTCTCACACACCATAACATTCACTCACACCTCAGGTAGATGCCAAACTCCTACTCCTGCCCAGACACTGGCTGAAGTTGCCTGGCAGCAGTGTATTCAAAGGAGCATACACCATGCATTCCCCTGTGGTACCTGGCTGAACATTCTTTGCAAAGAGGACAGCCCTTCCCTATCCTGAATGAATTCTACTACAAAGAATTTCTTAGTAATCAGACAGCTGAAATATTTGTGATGCAAACAACAATGAAGCATTTAAATTAATGCCAGAGGAATTTCATGGAGTGGTGAAGGCTGTTTTTCCTCTTAATAAAGACAAAACACACAGCACCAGACAACTCAGATTGCAATCTTAATTTACCCCAGAAAATCGTGGCAGAAGGAGGATGAGAAAAAAACCCACGTCAATTACAAGTATTTGGTCTCATTTCTTCACTGACTACAAAGTGATGATTAACTGCATTTTAGCAGAGACAACTTTAAAATATTTGAATTTAACAAAGTCATGTAAGCCATCACCTTTGTTTACAGTATGATTTTTTTCTTTTTTTATATACAGATCCTTTTAAAAGCTTTATCTAGTGCATTTTCATTCAAGATTGGTAGTGAACTACAGAGTGGCTATGTGTGTAACAGCTACATGCAGTTGTCACCAGATTAAACAAGCCCAACATTAATTATAGCAATTCCAACAAAGAAAAAAACCATGATTTTTCTTCTAACTGCCTTTGTCTTATGCCCCACTTCTTTTTTAATATACATACAACTCTGAAAGCAGATTAAGGTTTACTATTTATTTTCAAATTAACCTGACAAAACCCTGCTCCAAAACACATTACTTTCTACTCCAATCAAGAGCCTGACGTATATATTCTAGTCGATAAATTGCAAAAAAATACCTTGCAGGTACTCTTAAAATAGAAAAGGAGAAAAAACAAGCACTTAAAAGATACTTCTAGGGCTTCACTTTTCAACACAAAAGCCTGAAGACACATCCTTTGACAGTTCCTAGCCATATTTTAATTTTAGCCATTTTTGCTAGCAGTTTTTCGTAACAGTTGGCAAAGTCATTATTTAAGAATACTACGGGAAAAACATTCCCTTGACTTCTTGCCCTGCCCCTTTTCTCCCATTCTTTTTCTCTGCTGTGAAGACTTACTGCACTCACACCTGGCACAGGTTCCTTTGTTTGCCAGCTGACATCGAGCCTACAGTGCTATACAGCGCAGGTTAGACATGTCCTGAAATTATTTAAGCTAGCGTGCGGTCTAGGAACTTGTTATCAATCTCCATAAACCTCTGCCGGACACACGCCCTGTGGGGGCCACCTCCGAGCTCAGCGCCACTAAAAGCCCATTTAATTCACGTGGACTACTCAAATGAAAACGCTGAGATACCAACGCTGCCCAAGCCACCCACAGGAGGCACTTGCAGATTAATATCTTTTAACACTTTAGCTACACTTGTTTTGTTTTGTTTTGTTTTCCTGCGGGACCCCCGACTCCCAGAGCGCTCGGGGCGAGGGGCCAGGGCCCAGCACCTCCTGGGCCGCAGCCGGGAAAGCCCCTGGGCACCCGGGATCGCGGCTCAGCTGCTCGCAGCTGCCAGGATGGGGGTCCCCTTCCCCTTCCCCTTCCCCTTCCCGCCGCCGAAGCCCCCTTCAGCAGCAACAGCAGCACCTCTGTCAGCGGGCGCTCCTGCTCCGAGGCCCCGGGCAGGGCCATCCCGGACTACGGAGGCGAGTCCCCCCCGCCCAGAGAGGGACCGAGATCCCCCACAGGAGGCCAAGCCAGGCCAGGCCAGGCCAGGCCAGGACCGGCTGGTGCTCACCTGCCCACCCTCCCTGCTGCTGCAGCAGCACAAACCTGGACCCCCGAGATGTCGACCAAGCCCGGCCGCCACCCGCCGTCGCCGTCGCCGTGGAAACCACCGACCGTCCCCAGCAGCCCCGCCCCTTCCGGCCGCCACGCGAGGCCACACCCCCCGGTGCCGGCCCGACGGCTGCCGGCGGCTGTGAGGGGGCTGAGGGCCCGGCCTGGCCTTTGCGCCGGAGCGGGCCCGGGTCGGCTGGCCTCAGCTCGGGAACCCCATAATCTCCGGCAGCTTTGCCGATTTAACCGTGCCCGGGCGCCTGTCACCTACACCTGGCAGGCGTCGCACACTGAACCCGCGTACAAACCGCATCCATTTCAATCATCCGTGTCCAACGCCTGTGTCTTTTATTTTTTTCTGACCGCTGCTCGTCTTTCTTGCACAGCTGCAGCAAGAGTGCTCAGATAAACTCACTTGGGAATTACAATTAATGTAGGAAGAAAAGCCTAATAAAAACATCATCAGAGGTGTTCACAGCAGCTCCTGTTCTCTAAGGTGGCAGTACTTAAAATTACTTAAATCGCTTAAAATGAGCTCTAAACACATATAAACTAAAACCCGGTTTCTTTTCTACCACATAGTTATATTTGCCTGGCAAAATTGTTCTAAAGAGTAATGTGACTTCCAATGCTGCTGTGCTCCCCAAACACAGTGGAAAAGATGACTTCTGTTTTTAACGAACAGTAGCATGAGTTCGCCTCACTCAGCTCCGTTGAGGTACTCATAGGATGTAAAATGTTGTCCAGGTATCACTCTCCATGTCCAGACGGATACCCTACGCTGCGATCCCTGAGGAGATCCTGTGTGGTCAAGCAGAGCTCAGCGTGCTGTCCCACGCTATCCCGCACAGACTGGCAGTGCAAGCCAACGAGCTAGAGCAAGTCAGTCCCTTACGCTCCCCTCACTACAATCTGGTATTTCTGCAATTCCAGATTTTTAATGTATTTTTGTGTTTGTCCTTCACTTTTGAACAAAGATATGCAATGAGTGAGGGGTGGAGTGCCTAGTTCTGTCTCCGCTTCCCGAAAGGTGGTTTATACCGCTTCTTGGCTGGAAGAAATAATTTTCCTTCACGGAGCTCCACCTCTCATTTTGAAAAACCCTAATCTAGTTTCACGTATGCTGAAGACAGCTTTCAGTCTACTGTCTCAACTTCTGCCCTGAGGAATGGAGTGAGGGCAGTGGAAAGAACTTTTAGATAGCGATGTGGACAGTTCTGTTTGCTAAAAATCTCAGGTCAGAAGCTCCCAGTTGTAATGTAGTTCACATTAAACATCAAAGATTAAAAATACTACAAACATTTTGTCTGTTGTTTGGCTTTCTCATTCTTATTGCTGCTTTCATTATTATTAAAGGTCTGAGGTAAATTGCAATCATGATTTCATTATTTCCTTATACCCACAAAAGTCCTGACTAAAAGATGAGATTCCCTCATAGTGACATTATAAGCCATTAAAGGAAAAGCAAGGAGCATAAATCTCACAGTGACACTCTGGGTTGAAGCACTTTCTAAAAGATAATCAGGTTGAGAAGTAAGTATGTGTCAGAGGAGGGTGTCATCTCCTACTTTCTATATTGAAACCAGTCCATATCTAAGAACTGCTTCTGAAGTCAACAAAGAACAAAGAATGGCAAAGGCATTTCTGTAGCCAGATGTAAAATGAAATACTCATTCTTCATTATACACACTATGTTAAATCTGACTGTGTTTAGTGAGAAAGCTCTTCGCCTGTAAAATATGCAGGATGTAATGGGCTGTGGACATCTGACATTCATTTCCCATTAATCTACACATGCATCTGTTCAGTTTTGAATTGCATGCATATGATGTTAGGAAATGAAAGGCTAATTATAATTTTAAACTTTTTCGAGGTAGGGTCTGATTTTTGTATATGGCATTCACTTCTTTGTGAATCACTGTGTATTGCCATGGCAGCATTTACATATGATCAGTTTTGAAATTGCGTTTGTCAGTGAGAGTTTTGAAAAACACTAGAGGAGTTGTGTGGCTCAGTGAACCTCCATAAGGAGGGTGAACAGTACTGCAGAATCTTAATAGCACATTAAATTATATTTAAAATTCAGATTCCCAGTGTTTCTCAAGAAGGAGAGTGCTGTTGTTCGGAACTTTTAATGTGTACAGTTTTTTCCTGATGTTTTTAACTGTGTGTGCATTTTGACAAGGCGTTTATCAGAGCATAAATGCTCAGTGGTGAGCACAGAAGAGGCCACTATGGTTAAGCATTCTTCAGCTGAAAAAAAAACCCAACACCCTGAAGCATCTCAAGTGTTAGAACATATTGCTGGTCCATCTTTATTAGTACACCAACCTGTGTTAAGCAGCTGGGCTTTTTTTTTTTTTTGCATGATCACGTAGGACAGGCTTCACTGTGTATCATTATATTCATAACTCAAGGCAAAACAAACACCATTAACTCAAAAATAACCACCAGTACTGTAACTTTTATTTGCTAATAAATATCTTAATAAACAGGCTTACCCCATCTGTAAGACCTGATAATGCCTCTTAGGAAATCATAGAAAAATAAAATACAATAATAATCAATAACTTGTACTTTGTACAAAAATCTTATTATGTTGCTCAGCAGGTAGCTTTGCCAAACCCCATATTCTTTCTGCAGAGAAATGGCATATGTAATGCAGTTCACCTTAAAAACACCCTAATGTTGAGAGCTGAGCATTCTATTACACTATTAACTTGTAGGCATGCCAGCACATGAAAATTTACATGGAACATCATATTATCATAGGAATAGAATAATAATAATAAAAGGAAGATAGCATCACTTTTCAGTAAATAATAACAACTTCTAATGTAAATTCCCCTTGGGACTGCAAATCAGTATATTAAGCATTTAATTTCATGGCTATTCCTACAATACTGTTATAAACTGGTGAAAAGGCAGAAAGAAAAATGCAGTGGCAACATGTATGGGATGTATATTATGTGAAGAAAAGTCATTCTAAACAGTGAGGCAGTCCCAGGGGGAAACCAATGATACCAGCTGTGAAATGTTGAGTCTCTCAGAATAAGCGGATCGTGCTTGCTGTGTGCAATGCTACACGAGTTCAGACTGATGAAGATATAATTTAGAGGTACAGGACCAAGGCTGCTTTTCTGTGAGATGAACGGTGAAGACTGAGTCACAGGTAATTGTCATTATTCGAATACATCTTGGTAAGAGGAAAAGAAGCAATGGCAAAACAAATGTTATCTGGGGTCTTTAAAGAAAAGGTAGTTTCAGACTACTGGTAAAGATACGAGATCTGTGCTGAGGCCACTGTTTGTTTGTAAAACAGTCTGCAAGTATTATGACTATGACATTACTTTTGAGGCCATTTGACATGGCTGCTTAAATATATAATCTAAAGTGTTATCAAATAGTTACTCATAAATACACATACATTGATACATTTTATGGCTATGCTAGAACAGCAAACTATGGAGATCAGTCATATTTAGTTGTGTACAATCTAATTTCACAGAAGAGACAGAGATTAAACCTCCTTTTAATTCAGATACGTTTAAAACAAACACACAGAAATAGATAGAGGCTATCCTGAGAAAACATACCAACCACATTATCTTCCAAGAGTATATCAAAGCTAATTTTTGGAAGGTAGTCAAATATTTTTCTTGTATTCTTTCTATAAGTCAAAGTGGTTTGTTTCTTAAAAAAAAAAATGATGACAAAATTAAAACAATTAATTCCAACTTGATCAATGAAGGTTGCTTTGCTAGGAAATAAACTACTGCCTTCCAGTAAATGGGGTTTCAGATGATTTTCGTTGTTACACTGCAGATGCAATCCTGAGAAGTGCAGAGTACCTGTCATTGTTACCAAAGTCAATAGGAGTTATACTGCACCAAACAAGAACAAGCCCTTTATCTTGGTCTCTGGGTTTTCATTCACAGCATCACCATACATGATGCAACTGATAACATTAGAGAATTTTGACATTGACCTCAACAGAAGCAGATGCAAGGCTCTAAGTAAGAACAGCATATACTGAAGTACTGACTGAATCCAGTTCCTTCACCAGAGTTAACCAAGAAACAACTTTTCCCACTAGTAATCTGAAATAGCCCTCTCTACCTTATGTAGAAAAGTTGGGAGAAGAAATTACTGCAAAAGATATGGTACTAAAAATGCTACACTACCAATTCAAAACTAACTTTTTCTTTGGGAGAGGCGGATAGGGAATCATGGCCCTAAGCTTTAAAATGCTTACACGTGTTATGTGTTAGGAATCTTAGAGTAGGATGGTTTTCTTGAGCTAGGTAATTAATGAAAGAGTCCAGTAAACAGAACCACTAGGAGGGCATTAGTTAACTAATTTGCTACTATGCCTTTCATTAACTGGCAAATCTCCATCCTTACACTGCAATGCACTAGGAGTATGAAATAGCTTGTTCAAAGAGGCAAGTGATCAGCTAGCACTTCTATTATGAAGGGGAGATCGTATTGCCTAACAGTATGTGTTTAGGAAAGAAGATACACAGACAAGTTCTATTTTTTTGTAGGTTCTGTTTGTTTGATGGGGATGGTGTTTTTATCCTGAATTTAAATACAGGAGTTTGGGGAATTTTCTAGGGGAAAAAAAACCCAAAACATTTCTATTAGATACTCTATCAGAAGTGTAGGTCATTTTAAAAGCTTATTCCAAACTCAGAGATGGTAGCCCGTTCCAGATAAAACAACAGTGCAGCAACCACTTTTTCTACCTTGCAGTTCAGCTCTGCCATGTTGAAGGTAACCATAATCTACTTCATCACATCCCTGAGGTAGCAGCCTTGTCTTTTATGCTCAGTGTGCCTCTCACCTATTAAATGAGGCCATCCATTCCATGCAAATCTATAGAAACCTTTGATCGAAAACCTGTTTCAGTCTATTGACCTCTTCACACAGATTTAACTGACTTTGGCTCATGTCCTGAAGGACCAATCTACATCTCAACCTGAAACTCTCAACAGAAAAATGAAAATTAGCAAAAAGTTTTAGTGATACATTTGAATGACAAGACAGCATGTGTCCTAATACGTGCTGGTT